TGGTAAAAGATGCTCGATAATCTAGGTCATCCATGCTAATGTCACAATTGTTGACAGTACAAGTGGCAATGCATAATGCAATGATGCCAGNAAGACTTTGAATTACCTAGAGGGAGAGAGATAGAGAGAGACTAGAGATAAGGGGAGAGAGAGACATGAACTACCCAGAGACGTGAACAATATTTTGGTCATCAATATTTGGATAACAATCTGACAAGTAATTTAATTTGCATAATAATTCTAGACACAACTTACAAGCACACATAATCAATATAGAGTTAGCGAGTTTACACTTAATTTAGTGAATTTGATTGGTAAATAACTAGTCTTGTTAAACTCCTTTAATAGATGGATTGATATGAATCCAGCTACACATAAAATGAACTTTATTAAACATGATGTATGCACTACCTGAACCAAATCATATACGACTGTTAGAGGGTTGATATGATAGAGTTAAATAAATTTTAATACCAATCAACTTATACATGAATAATACAAACCATTATCAGTCCTAATTTTTGTTGAACTTGGAAGCTAATTACATGTTTGCCATTATATTCCCCCAAAATCCTCACATCCAGCTTAGAAAAAGTAACACACTGGGTATATAAGATGAGTCTAATTATGGTATCGAAAAATTATTTTTTAATAACATATTTGGTTATTTCCATCTATCAAAATAAGACATATATAAAAAAAATATTTTATTATTTTTATGATACGTATGTACTTCCAAGTCTTTACCCAATAAAGCCTTGTAATTCCTTCTCCAAGTAGGCCACAAACCTTCCAAACTTTCCTTCTATAGCTAGGATTGTGCTTTTCCCCACTAATCTTATATATGCAATTTTTTCGATTAGCCTTGACCACTAAAAGAATTGATTCTATTGAACCTACAAAATTTCAAATCAATATTACAATCTCTAATTAAATATCTGACCAAAAATTTTAGATCAATATTACAATCTCTGACCATCTCTAATTGCCCTAATTCTTAAATATGCACATCTCTAATTGAATATAAAGTTGTGGCTAGAACTAGAGAGCGTACCACAGAATATTAATGAAAAATTGGCTGAGAGAGAGAGAGAGAGAGAGAGAGCAAAATACCTTCAATGGGTCGCCAAGTTGTGGTTAGAACTCGTCAGACGAGAGGGACGAAGAGAGAGAGGCAGAGAGAGAGAGACATAGATTTGAGGTGTGCAACTGGTGAGATTTACGAAATCCTTTGGTGATCTGACTGGACCTGCGCTGGAGTTGTCCTTGTCGGAGCAGTAGTCTTTGTCGGAGTTAGTCGCCTGCACCTAAGTGGTGTTCGTCGGATGAGTGGTCTATTCCTTTGGAGTGCAAAGAGTTGTTGAGAGAGGGCTTATGTGATTTGGGATTTTTTGATTTAGAAGACTTCAAGATTTTGTGATTTGGAAAAGTGATTTCTGATTTTATTTGCCTAAAGCGTCATTTAAAATGATGACTTTAAAAACGTCATTTTAATTGATGTTTTATGCATATCCAAGTTTCTATAGACATCATGCCCTAGCTCCGTTAAGAAACCGTCTAAAATCATAATCAGTAATAAATTGTCATTTTAAATTACGACTTGAAAGACATCATTTACAATGACGTTTTTAAAATTTTTCCAAGTTTCAAATCATCATTTTAAATAACATTTTTGACCATGAAGACGCCATTCTAAATAATGTTTTTAAAAAGAGACTAAGTTTTGGAAACAAGTTTTAAACTAACTTGGTTTGGAATATTAGTTTTGGTGGGGCATGGGTATGGTAAAAAGCTCAATATAGCGTCTTGAAATGTCAGACTTAGTTTACCCGAAATTTTTCACGTCACTCTATGTACCATTGACTAATATTGTACAAACCCATATAAATTTTACGCAAACAAGTGTATGTCGTCCAAACTTATCACATTCATAACTTTTCAAAAATTGAGATTTGGCCATTGAAGGATCGAATTGTATTCGAAGAATAGGGTGCACAATTAGTTACATTTATCCTTTGTGATCTATGAGTCTCATCTACTTCGATAGAATTTTTCTATAACAAATGAAATTTCATAATGTAAGCATCTTTCAACTTGATTATATATGAAGAATCGCACATAAGGATGACAGTAGACTGAGACGGGGGCAGGAGAAGCAGTCTCCACCCCTATACCTGCTTCAAAAATATTTGTCTACTCTCAATCCACCCCTATTAGAGGAGAAAATTTTAATCCCCGTCTCAGTCCCGCGAGCAAATTTTGATTCTCGTCCCCGTCCATAACAATTAATTTTTACAATTTTAAGGAAAAAAAATCATAAAACCTCAAAAATAGTTCTGCAAGAAGGATGAAACCCTATTATATAAAAAATGGATAAAAAAAAGAGAAAGTAAAATATATATTTTTTTTGGTAAAGAGAAGAGTGTAGGTGGGTGAGTGGGGTTTGTGATATTATATTAATAAGTGTGTGGGAAGGTGCGTGGGGGTTTGTATCTTTGTGATATTATATATATATAAATATTTATCATGGGTGGGGCGGGGCGGGGCGGGGANTCGATTCATTTCCGCTAACGTGAGAAATTTTAATCGATGTACTCATCTTGTTTGTAAATTTTGATTTCCGTCCCCACCACCATCCCTGGCCATAACAATTAATTTATATGATTTAGAAAAAATCGTAAAGCTTTACAAATAGATTTGCAAGACGGATAAAAACTCATTATATAACAAATAAATCAAATATAAAAACTCACAAAAATAATATGTATAACAAATGTGTGTTACAATTAATATAATATCTATATATATTACTGGTATAGTAGGGCGGGGCGGGAATGAGTTTCAGTTCATCCCCACCTTCATACCGCACGGGTTTATACAGGTATCCCCATATACGTTTACCGTCCAATGCGTACAGTCCATCTTTGAACCACTGTCATCCCTAATTGTACACAATTTAGAGGGAGTTGAATAAGTTAACTAAAAATAATCGATTGGACAACCAATTTAAAACTTAATCGACCACAATTACCAAATTTAAAAAAATAATTTGTCAATTAAACGTTTGAACACCTTTTCTCTTAACAAGAACAACTCACATGATTGAATGGATGATATGTGTATGCAATTAACAAGCTCAACAATCCAATCAATCAATCCTCCAATCCCTCCAACAAAGCCAGCTTCTACAAAATTCAATTTGATGAAGAATTTGAATAAAACAATTGAAGTGTCAATTTATCAAACATAGTGTGTGTGTGACACAAATTAAAACAACAAAACGAGCATCCACAACACAAACAATTGTTTACGTGGAAACCCTCTTAAGAAAAATTGTAAAACCGATCTAGGTTCTCTTAGCCTAATCCACCATTTTTCAAGTGAATAGAGATTTATAGGGTTTAGATGATAAATATGTATACTCATTGGCTCCAATGAGCCATTGGTTCAATGGTACTCTTAGTCTTGTAAAGGTTTTGCTTTTGTTGAAGTCAAGGATTCAAGTCTCCCTTTCCCTTCTCCCTCCCAAAAAAAAAAAAAGAAAAAAAAATCATTAGCTCCATCAAATAAGTGGTTCAACACAATTCTAACTAAATAAACATGAACTCAATTAAACACAAATAATATGCAACATGAACCCAATGACACAAGGATATATATATATATATATATATATATATATGAGTCAAATATAGACCAAATTTTACTACCACACAGTCCATTGTCAACCCTAATCTACACAAAAATAAATTCTCTTACTTTTTAGGGTCACTTCTTGAGCTAGAGGGCTGGCCAACCTGACTCAGACGATACCTTACTTTTCATTATATATATGATAGTGAAAAAATCGTGTAATGCACGCTATTTTTAATCTCTTTCATCACAATTATATCACCTCCATTGCCACCCCAACCCTCTTATCCCCTATTCTCACCCCCGACCCCGACCCCGATCCTAGTATTTTTTTAAAAAAATTATTCATTAATGTATTAAATTAAGGAGGACGAAATAAAATAGTTTTGTGGGAGTAGTTATATAAGTCATATGAAATGATTTGATTTGATGATATCAATACATTGTTATTAAATAATTTAACATTAAAAAATATAGTACTTGATGAGAAAAAGTTTTATAAGCACCCTCTCTCCTAAATTGGCTTCTATAGTATGTAATAAATATAGATTTAGAAGAGAGAGAGTATTTGTGTGTAAGAGAGACAGGAAATTGAGAGATAAAGGGAGAAAAATTCCTGAACAATTGAGAAAATTTAAGAATTATGCTATTAATTAGGAATTATGTTATTCAAAAAGGGACAATCACACAAAGCCAAACCGAATTTGATAATTTTAAAAATAAAAAATTCAAGAACATTTGAATGGAGTTTTGGAGCTTATCTAAGTCAACTATACTGCTATATATTATGTAAGATAGATACAAACACATATATAATATATATTAATTTTTATTTTTTAGTAAAAAAATTAATAAAAGAAGTAATGGCCCATTGGTAGGGCCATGGAGATTCTGGTCTAGCCTCCGACCTTCATTTTCTTAATAGCTTGTCTGACCCGGCCCTTCGCATGATAGAGCAATTCAATTAATTTACACCAGTCTCATTATTTAAGGCCGTACTATTACGCAAACGCGGTGATGACTTAAAACCAAATACGAAACCACAACTCAACTTCCCAAAGTCTTCCACTGAAAGCGAAACACCACNAATTAAAACCAGTGCATTGACTTGAACAAAAACAAAATACGAAACCACAACTCAACTTCCCAAAGTCTTCCACTGAAAGCGAAACACCACATTTATTCAACAAAATCAAAGCATAAACAATCAAACCCACTCTGTAAATCACAATCAAATTCAAAGATAATTATGTGGTGGAAGACATTTCTAACCAGGTCTATCCATTTCTTTGTATATCCATATTCAACAAGGTAGTAATCTCTTTCATCTCTTTGATCCTCCTCTGTTTCTTCCTCAGTTTTCTGTGATGGGTTTTCATCACAGAAAACTTTTGGGTCCCCCAAATATCAAAAAAGATGATAAAAATAACGCCCAATCTCCTGAAGTAATAAGAGTTGTTTCTTATTCAGATCCGTGTTTTATGAATTGCCCAAATGCATGTAATAAAACTTTATCACCCGAACCTTTGTGCAATGATGGTGATCAATCCAATTCCAATCGTATTTCACCTTTGTTGATGCCCATGTTCTGTATACTCGGTGTTGTTTTCCTTCTCGTTTGCTACCTCACTTTTCTCAAAAAATATCGATCCAATATGATCAATTCCAGGAGGAGAAATCTGCCCAGATTCGATGATACTCACCAAGATCTTATAGACGAGAATCATGGGCCAGCAGTGGTTCATCCCATATGGCTCATCAACACGGTTGGTCTTCAACAATCCGATATCGATTCGATCACTGTGTTGAAGTACAGAAAAGATGAAGGAGTGATTGAAGGGACTGACTGTTCTGTTTGTTTGAGTGAGTTTGAAGAAGATGAGAGCCTTAGGCTCTTGCCCAAGTGTAGCCATGCCTTTCACATCCCTTGTATTGATACCTGGCTTAGGTCACATAAAAACTGTCCGTTGTGTCGTGCTCCGGTAGTATGTGAGTCAGGCAATGCTCATGTGAGCACTGTTGATCAAAACTCGGATGTTTCGGGTTCCACTGAAGAGACCCATGTGGAGAGTACTGAGAATTATGATGGGTTGGGAAGCAATCAAGAAGGTGGGACTAGTGAAATGAGGGTTGGAGTTGATAGCTTTGGTGCAGTGCCAAGTGAAAGTGGAACAATTGCTAAGGTATTAGAGAAAAATTCTCGTTATTTCAATACAAGAAGTAGTGAGTTTAGAGTACTAAGTGATTTGAGTGGTAATCGGGCAGAAGTGGAACAAGAATTACAGCCAGTGAGGAGGTCTGTTTCAATGGATTCATCGTCTGCTTCAATGATTTATCTTGCTGTGGCGAACATTCATGAAGTGGAAAATGGAGGTTGTTTGGAGACTCAGATTGTTCAAGTGAAGAAACCAAGCACGGAGATGACCGTTAAGAAGGAAAATAAACATTCAGGCATGAAAAGACCATGGAAGAGTAGCTCATTTAGGTTTGCTTTGCCAAATGGACCTGTTTCCATGAAAAGGTCTTTCTCTTCCAGTGGAAAGTCCTCCTTACACAGGAATGGCAGAAGCCAGGAACAAAACATACCGTTGTGAAAATGAACCTTTCATCCTCTCCTAATCCTGGCTTCGGATCAGAATTCAACTGTGTGATTGATAGCCACAAGAAGGAGAGGCCTATCATTTTTTTAGTACGAGGATAAAAACACAATGTGATATAATCACCGATGGAAGAGAAAACGAGTATTTTTTTGTATAATTCAGATTGTAATCTTCTTGGCAAGATGGTTTTGGAGTCGGAACATCAAATGTAGGAGCAAGCAGCACAGTGAAATTTCAATCGAGCTTGCTCTACAGACATTGGAAGGCTATTTGATGTTTTCATACCCAGATGGCGTGTAAGGCTTCTTGAGGATGGAGTTCTACTGCAGAAGCCATTTCATTTGCAGTCCTGCTTTATATTCATTTCTTTTACTCACATAGTGTATCATTAAGCTTTGGTTAAGTTAATTTCTGCTTGTACATATGTCCAGCATTATATGTATGCGGTATTTCAGTACGTTTAATTATCCATGCCTTCTTGTTCCAGACTAAAATTCATCGGGTTAAGCATATAATTGTTAGCATTTGATTAATTTGTCCTAGTTTGACATAACTGTGCTGTTAATGGAGTTATGGATAATGGTCTTGCTTAAGTATGGTTCGTTCATCAGAACCAGTATTGTTTGCTACTATAGCTTGATTAATTTTGTTTGCTACTATACTTGTCATTGCTATAGATTGATTCATTCTAATCATATCCACTCACCCCCAAGAAATTATTGCTAAATCTGTCATGAACTGCTCTGGAATTTATCCATACGTATGTTTTGCCCAGAGTTTTCTCAGCTAAAGTACGCCAGCTACACATTGTTGCAAGCTGATTTTGCTAGCTTTTACTGCCAGTTAAAAGATACTCGTCTTAAGCTCCAGTTATTTTTATTTGAATGAACCTTTCAAACTTTGAATGAAACAAAGAAGTATAAGAAGGTCATGGTATAAGCAGCTGATGTCGAACACAGTTATTGTAATTATGTCATAACATGACAAAAATTCGTACCATATGATGGGTAAAAGAGACTAGAAAGTTTTCCATGATCAGAAGAGCTAAGCATCAAAGAAATCAAGTAGCAAATTCAGTGAGTTCCCCTTGGTCTTCCAGGAGTTTGCATTTACAGTTTGATTAGTTTTTTCCCGTGTGTTGTTTGTTGTGCTGCACTCGTTCTGTCACCAACTAGTTTGACAACATCCGCACTCATTCCTATAGCATATGGAAGACTTCATTAGAGTAAGTTTGGCCAAAAGTGGGCTCTGTATGCATTCTGATACTACCTCTTCAGAAAATTTACTAAAAAGGGGTATAAACATTTGAAAACAGCTATTCTCAATTCTTTAGCATTCAACCATCACTCAGATGGTTCACAAATGTGATTGAGAAGGANCCTCTTCAGAAAATTTACTAAAAAGGGGTCTAAACATTTGAAAACAGCTATTCCCAATTCTTTAGCATTCAACCATCACTCAGATGGTTCACAAATGTGATTGAGAAGGAAAACCCCATATTTTTAGAATAGAATCCACAACTGATGAAATTGAGGTTACATTTGTTACAATCAGAATGAAAAATGAAAAGTTCCTCCTGTTTTTGCTTCTCTCAGTTTCTGTACTAAGATGATAATATCATACGACTTCAATTGTCATCTAAAGCCACTTTTTATAAACTGAAATGTAAGCTCTCTTGACCAATTGACCAACTGAAAAATACCCTAGAAACAGCACAACCAAAAACCCAATATAAGACAATGGCAGGGACACAAAACCCAACACTTCTCCAACTGGTGTGTATCGAATTGCAATTCCAATGGCAGAGATCACCACTGTAGCACAAATCACGGGCCATGACGCAATCTCTTGAATGAAGGGGATCTTCTCAGTGGATAATTAAAGTTAGCATGAGGAGCCCTTTGATGAACCATGCAGAATGAAAAAAACTCATATCCAGTGGAGTGTGACTCTTGTAATAAAATCCAACAAATAAGAGGGCTGCTACATCACAAAGAGAGCACACAGGACCGTTCCAGAGTGTGAACATGGCTAGGCCTCTGAGGGACCATGTTTGTGGAGTCTTAACGTAATCCTCTTCCATTTTGTCCCAAGGGATTGCAATCTGACCCACATTGTACAAAAGCTCTGCATAAGAAGCTGCTTTGGCGTCAAAGGTTCTAACCTGTAACACAATGTGGCTATGAGTAGAGAGAGAATACTCCCTAGGTTGGCATTAACTGACATTTTGATGTACTTCATGGTGTTCCCAAAAGTCAGTCGACCTTGCTCAACTCCAGCCACAAGAACATTGAGATCCTTTTCAAGTAGTACAATGTCGGCCTTTTCTTTTGCAATTGATGCTCCGGAATCAACCGATATACCCACATTAGCGGCATCCAATGCCAGCGAGTCATTCACTCCATTACCCAAAAACCCCACAACATGGCGTCCCACTGTTTGCAAGGATTGGACCACCCGGAGTTTATTAGTTGGGTTGAGCCTGGCTAGCACAGTTGCTCTTTTAATAGTCTCGTGGAAGGATTCATGGTTGAGTAACTCGAGATCTGCCCCTGTAATCACATGGGTAGTCCTGATGCCAACTTCCTTGCAAATCCTTTTTGCAATTGACAGGGAGTCACCAGTTAATACTTTGCTTTTACTCCCTTCTCGGCCAGCCACCACAGAGCCTGCTTGGCAGAATCCTTCGGGGGATCGAAGAAAGATATAATGCCAAGGAACACCATGTCAAATTCAATGCTATCATCATAGGCCACTCTTCCAACACCTGTTTGCTGCAACATGAAAAGTACAACTGTCATGTAAGTGCGAATTTTAAGGTGTAACTACTCTGAAGGGGTTACACTCTCCTCACCCCCCCCCCCCCCCCCCCNGACACGAAATGGCATCTAAAAGTAAATGAGAAAAGTGACCAAAAGAGGTTTAGGCACACCGTTTCTAGCCTTTTGAATGCTACTCCCAGAACTCGTAATCCATCATTGCTTAATTCTTCCGCCATGTTTGAAATCCTTTGATGGTCTTCTATATAGAGCCTTATGATTTCACCTGTANAGATGGCATCTAAAAGTAAATGAGAAAAGTGACCAGAAGAGGTTTAGGCACACCGTTTCTAGCCTTTTGAATGCTACTCCCAGAACTCGTAATCCATCATTGCTTAATTCTTCCACCATGTTTGAAATCCTTTGATGGTCTTCTATATAGAGCCTTATGATTTCACCTGTACCAACTTGCTCAATAAAAGAACACATCTTTATCACCTCTTCTAGAGCTCCTTTGGTTATCAGGAATCTGTCAAAGAAATGGAGGGAGATGGGTAAACAGTTTGAAATTATTTACCTTTCCTTAATTGAAATTCTGGTGTCAACTTGTTTAATTTGTAATGTTTGGAATTACATATCAAATTTGATGACTAATCTAGAACCAACAGCGGCATTGAGATCAATAAGTTCTCTTAGAAAATTTATTCTTATTGAAGAGCTCAAGCTGCGGCAGCTACGCAACCCATCCAAAGTCTCACCACCAAGCCTATCCCACCACTACCATCCATCAAAAAACCTAAAAAAAAGAAGACCGAAATAATACTGATGGTGCAGACTAATGTGGGTGAACAGAGTGCGTGGGACCAACGGTGAAGTTAAGCTGCCAACTTCGTAATTGCAGTGATGAAGTGTTTCTTAGGGGATAGAGAAATTTGCACAGTAGGAATATAGTGGTTCACCGGCTCTGGAGCTTGGCTAATCCACTCCCAAATGAAGGTTCTTGGTCATTTTCTTCTCTATTGATTAATTGAATATAATACAAGACAGTGCATAACTCAATTAGGGTTCTTTTTTTGCTCTCCCTCTCGATGAGGCGTTACATAGTATTTTTAGGCTGTCCCCTATTCTGTGGGATTTCAGCCGAGATCTTTGCCCATTATTCATGGGATCCTCCTTGATTTTAGGAGAAAATCTTGGTTGGTTGAGAGTTTCATGCATGGGGCCCAATTTTCGCAGTCATCCAGCTGTTTCTTGGTCGGTTCTGCTACGATCTCCCCAAGGGGAGCTCCACCCCTGGTTCTCTGAGTTTCTCTTGTCTTTCCTGACCTCCTAACCTGAGCTCACAGCTAAGGCTTGTTTGAGGTATCATGAGTTGTCCCCCAGCCCCTGGTTCAAGCAGGCTTAGGCAAGAGTTGAGCTGTTTTTTAAACCGAGCAGGATCTGCACATGGTTGACCTTGGCTTGCACATGAGTTAGGCTTTTTTGACGGTTTTTAGCAATCATGGTTTCCACGTTTCCCACGCACGTTCCAGTCCACGTCTCTCAGGCTTTAAATGCTCAAATGGCTATCTGAACCGCCCTATTCCGCTGTTCAACTTCTCTGCTGCTTCTCTCTTCTTGCGATTTCCTGGCTTTCTGGTTTGGAGTTTTCTGATTTCTCGTTCAAGATCGAGTTTTGTGGATTCGATTTAAAGATTCCCATTGCCCTATTTCTTCCATTTCGCTCTAGGCTGCTGTTCGTTGCTTTTTCCTACCTAGGTACGCCCTTTTGTCCTGTTTCACCTTTTCTCGTTCTAGATCCCTCGAATTCGAGGTGGCCATTGCATTTTTAGGCCTTTCGGTTCTTTTACTTTTGGAATCGAAATTACTGCTTGTCTATTTTCCCCCACTTCGTGGACTGGTCTTCTATTGTGCGAATCCTTGCTGTTAGAAGCTACTACGCTGACCCTAGGGTTATCAGGGAGTGTTTAATGAATATTCCTCCTCTCTACCGTTCTTTCAGTTTACCTTTCTTCTATCCAGTCATGTCTACTCCTTCCAGAGTTACACGCTCTTTTGCTTCTCTCTTAGGGGAAAGGTCTGCTAAAGAGAACACTGATTTAGGAGATATAGGCGAGAAAATCGACTATTTTCCTGGTGTGGATGCAATCGATGCCGAGGAAAATACTAAGGAACCATCCCCATCGTCTTCTTCTGTGCCCCCTAATCCTAACAAAGGTAAGGGCAAGATGAGTGGGATAGAAGTCTCTAACAGCGCAACGGGCACAAGGGCCACCTTTAGGCATGCTGAGCTCGTAGGACCTAGTGAGGTTGACTCTTCTCATATGAAAATTCTTAGTGCTCGTTACGGTTTTCCTCCTGGTGTCCAGATAAATACACTTCATATGTTGCCCAAGTTCATAAGAGAGTATGTTTCTTTGTGGCCGCTTTTGAGAATGGCATTCGCTTTCCTATGTATCCCTTCATCAAGAGTGTTTTGCAACACTTCAATGTCTGTCCTGCTCAGCTCTTCCCTAATTTCTGGGGTGTACTTGTGGGTCTTCTTGTTTTATTCAAGATCCATGGACTCGGGGTCCCCAGCCTTTCCTTGCTTGTTGATCTTTTTAATGTCAAGCTCACCTCATCAGAGGGTTTCTTATATATCTCCAAGCGAACCACGGCTAGGCAGATCATTACTCACCTCCCGAGCTCCCATAAGGGTTGGAAGAAACAATTCTTTTTCGTTGGGGGCACCAACTGGGAGTACAACCCTGCTGACAGGACTGATACTCTGGGTATCCCTAGAACTTGGTCTGCCCCTGATAACTTAGGTGAGCCCTTGCTCAAACTGTTGAGTCACCTTTTTGAGCTCTGGTTTGGGAATTGTTGAGTCGTCTTTTTGACCTTTGCTCTCCTTGTATTGTTTTTCAGGCATTCGACCAGAGCTCAATGCTGACGACGAGAGGGTAAAGCGAAAGTTGGAGAAGTGTAATCTAGAGAAGTACTCCGAGCTCATCAAGCCCTGGGTCTTAGTAACACAGGGATTCAGTCCTCCTGAGATATCGATAGAAGCTCCGCTCCCTATCTGGTTTGGGAATTGTTGAGTCGCCTTTTTTACCTTTGCTCTCCTTGTATTGTTTTTCAGGCATTCGACCAAAGCTCAGTGCTGACGACGAGAGGGTAAAGCAAAAGTTGGAGAAGTGTAATCTAGAGAAGTACTCCGAGCTCATCAAGCCCTGGGTCTTAGTAACACAGGGATTCAGTCCTCCTGAGATATCGATAGAAGCTCCGCTCCCTATCTGGTTTGGGAATTGTTGAGTCGCCTTTTTTACCTTTGCTCTCCTTGTATTGTTTTTCAGGCATTCGACCAAAGCTCAGTGCTGACGACGAGAGGGTAAAGCAAAAGTTGGAGAAGTGTAATCTAGAGAAGTACTCCGAGCTCATCAAGCCCTGGGTCTTAGTAACACAGGGATTCAGTCCTCCTGAGATATCGATAGAAGCTCCGCTCCCTATCTCAGTTGTTAGGCCTGAAGGCATAGAAGGTAACACTTTCTGAGTTGGTTCCCTTGCCTTCTCTTCTTTTTCCTCTCTCCTGTTTAACTTGCTCAGTTCAGATCTCCCAGGCTCCTCCATAATGAAATCTACTCCTGAGGAACTCTAGGCTAAAGTTGACCTACTGAAGAAGAGTAGGAAAAGTGGCAAACGGAAGGCCGATACGAACTCTGGAGGCAGCCCCGTTGACAAAGCTAAAGTGCAGAAGTTGGGAGTGCCCTCTTCTCCTACCTTGAGCAAGGGAGGACAGACTCCCTCATCTCAATCCCTGGCCCCTTCTCCTCTTCAAGGGGCCCAGTTTGCCCCCCGAAAGACTTCCGAGCCAGGGCTGGCTTCCTCCACCTCTTCTGAGATTGAGGGAGCATTGGGGTTGATTACTGGAATCAAGCCAGACTTTGCACCCCTCGGACCGCCTGAGCAACCATCCCAACTGCCTCTCTGGAGTCCCAAAATCGAAAAGAAGGAGGGCCAGGAGACTGATGAAGACTCCTTCTTCGACAATGCTGAGTTGGCTGCTAGGGCCATTTCATCCATTCTCCCTGNTTGCCTTTTTTACCTTTGCTCTCCTTGTATTGTTTTTCAGGCATTCGACCAAAGCTCAATGCTGACGACGAGAGGGTAAAGCAAAAGTTGGAGAAGTGTAATCTAGAGAAGTACTCCGAACTCATCAAGCCTTGGGTCTTAGTAACACAGGGATTCAGTCCTCCTGAGATATCGATAGAAGCTCCGCTCCCTATCTCAGTTGTTAGGCCTGAAGGCATAGAAGGTAACACTTTCTGAGTTGGTTCCCTTGCCTTCTCTTCTTTTTCCTCTCTCCTGTTTAACTTGCTCAGTTCAGATCTCCCAGGCTCCTCCATAATGAAATCTACTCCTAAGGAACTCTAGGCTAAAGTTGACCTACTGAAGAAGAGTAGGAAAAGTGGCAAACGGAAGGCCGATACGAACTCTGGAGGCAGCCCCGTTGACAAAGCTAAAGTGCAGAAGTTGGGAGTGCCCTCTTCTCCTACCTTGAGCAAGGGAGGACAGACTCCCTCATCTCAATCCCTGGCCCCTTCTCCTCTTCAAGGGGCCCAGTTTGCCCCCCGAAAGACTTCCGAGCCAGGGCTGGCTTCCTCCACCTCTTCTGAGATTGAGGGAGCATTAGGGTTGATTACTGGAATCAAGCCAGACTTTGCACCCCTCGGACCGCCTGAGCAACCATCCCAACTGCCTCTCTGGAGTCCCAAAATCGAAAAGAAGGAGGGCCAGGAGACTGATGAAGACTCCTTCTTCGACAATGCTGAGTTGGCTGCTAGGGCCATTTCATCCATTCTCCCTGAATCCGATATTCAGAGGGCCTCTACCATGCCTTCTGAGGCCTCTTTCTGCTCAGCTCTCCAGGGAGCAGCCATTGTAAGTATTTTCACACTCGCTCTTAGCTCAGCACGGTTGAATTGTACTGATCTATGTCTATTTCCTTTTTTTTTTTTTGTCCACAAATGGCTCTTNAACTCATCAAGCCTTGGGTCTTAGTAACACAGGGATTCAGTCCTCCTGAGATATCGATAGAAGCTCCGCTCCCTATCTGGTTTGGGAATTGTTGAGTCGCCTTTTTTACCTTTGCTCTCCTTGTATTGTTTTTCAGGCATTCGACCAAAGCTCAGTGCTGACGACGAGAGGGTAAAGCAAAAGTTGGAGAAGTGTAATCTAGAGAAGTACTCCGAACTCATCAAGCCTTGGGTCTTAGTAACACAGGGATTCAGTCCTCCTGAGATATCGATAGAAGCTCCGCTCCCTATCTCAGTTGTTAGGCCTGAAGGCATAGAAGGTAACACTTTCTGAGTTGGTTCCCTTGCCTTCTCTTCTTTTTCCTCTCTCCTGTTTAACTTGCTCAGTTCAGATCTCCCAGGCTCCTCCATAATGAAATCTACTCCTAAGGAACTCTAGGCTAAAGTTGACCTACTGAAGAAGAGTAGGAA